ATTCAGGTGGGATATATTCAAGGTCATATTTTGGCTCTCATGGACTTGTTTTCATTCTCTTCGGCTTCAGTTTGTATTTGCATATGAGTAATTGATGGTCTGTTCCACAGTCTGCCCCTGGCCTTGTTTTGGCTGATGATGTGGAGCTTTTCCACAGTCTCTTTCCACAGATGTAGTCAATTTGATTTCTATGTCTTCCATCTGGCGAGGTCCACGTGTACAGTGTATATAAAGCCTCCTTGTCTCTTACGCTGGGTGATGCCATGCACAAGGAATACAATGCTACCCTGTCCTGGACCATCCCCACCATCAGTTGCACGTCAGCCCCTGTGCTCCATGGGGTTTCATTGGCTGATTTTCAGAAGCAGATCACCAGGCCTTTCTTTCTAGTCTGTCTGATTCAGAAAACCCTCCTAAAGCTTGCAGGCTGTGCATGAGGTGTATTCCATGGAAAGCACACCTGGGTGCCCAGGTGTAAGTTGAAAATTCTACCATGGCACCCCTGTTTCCTCACAGGTACCAGGTAGACCCTCTCACTGGCTTCTCCCTAACTCTAGGTCTTGCTATGCTGCATTCTTGGCAAGGTCTTCAGCTCTCCCTTCCTCCGAAATCTCTCTTTAGCTATGTCCAATCTCCGGATAAGAGACCCACTGAAGTATTTCTATTTTGAAAGTCTCAACAACTATATATTTGTAAGGTTTTTTTCTCTCACTCTCTTCAAATGTTTATGGGGGATGGTGGTGGAAAAACAACTTTTCCTAGCCACTTTGGAGACCAGTTTAGGGTTATTTAGTCAAATTGAAGCAGCTGACCCTGTATGACCAGCAATTTCGCTCCTGGAGATAGGAGAGGGTGTCAAAGTGTTCATGCCAAAAAATCTACTCTATTTTCATTCGATATATATATTTTTTTTTTCAACAAAATTTTTAAAGCCTCCTTGTATATTTGTCTCAGCATGTGCCTTGGGAGGTATCTACAAGAATGTCCTTTGTATGCAACTGCCTGCTCCCCTTCACCACCTTACCAGCCATGTCCTCGGGCTCCCCCCTGGTCATCGTGTCCCCCTCGCAGGTGGGGGCACTACAAGTGGGACTGGCCATCTCAATCTGGAGCTCAGAACCTGCAGGACAACATCAGGCACCGCATCCTCTACGTGTCGGAGCAGCTCCGCGTGGAGAAGGCCCGCCGGGATGAGAACACCGTGAGCTATCTCAAGCTGGTCAGGCACCAGGCCCCGCACATGTTGCTGTTACTTATTAAGTGCCGTGGACTCGGTTCAGATACACAGCAACCCTGTATGGGGTTTCCAAGGTGCTATGATACCATGACTTCACATGAGATGACTTTTCATCAGGTTAAGTCTTCTTAACTCCCACCAAGTGATTGGATAGGACCATCCAAATAAGGTGTACAGGATTCTGAGGTCCCAAATGGTTAGTCTTGCTCGTCCCTCCTGTATTTGAAAGGAACCATTTCAGAAGCAAGAACAGACAATCCCAGAACCATCAAGAAGGAAGAGCTATGAGCAGAACGTGAGGTCCCTACCTGGAAAAGTGGAGCCACAGCACAGCTGCGGGCTTCCAAGCAGACAGACAGAGTAAACTGAGTGTCTGCCAAAGAGCAGGAGGCTGGCTTGCAGAATGTACCTTGGGGCACTGACAGGCAGTTCTAAAGCATATTTGTAACACTTGCCCGAGCAGGACAGAGGTCAAGAGGCTGCCTGACTGAGAGGCCAAAGACAAGACTGAGGCATGCAAAGAGCAGAGCAGAGAAGAGGCATTCCTGACTGTCGGGGAACTGTTGCATCCTAAGTTGTTTCTGATCCGGAATTATGCCCTGATCACTTCCCTAATAAATCCCATAATTGTATTGTGTGTCAGTTCTGTGTGGCCCTTGCAACAGATTATTGAACCCATACGTGAAGCAGAGAGTTGGTGTCAGAAGAAGACAAAGAAGGTTGTAGGGTGGAGGCATGTCTGGCCTCCACCTCATAGGAAGCAGCCTGGGGCTGATTTGGAGTTTGATTCTCTTTCCCCTTTGTAAAGCCAGAGGAAGTCAGGCACGGGCTCCCTGACATTTTTGCACCATGTTTTACTAGCTCGACTGCAACAACATGGCTTTGAAGAATCTTGTCACACATTTTTTGCACTAATCTCGGTAACATGCTGAGAAAGTCACTGCTGGAACCACCCCATCTGTCTGATTACCTAAATGAGCAGGTGAAAATCACCAACGAATTGGCCAACTGCGTAATCCACTTGTGCCTAATGGGGGCTCTGGCAAAGCAGCTCTTTGACAAGCACACTGATGCAGCTAACAGGCTTTAGCCTGACTCATAGCCGCCGCCGCATGCACAGCAAAGCAAAACAATCCCACTCCTGGGCCAGCCTCACAAACGTTGCTACGCTTGAGCCCATCACTGCTGCCAAGGTGCCATCCATCTGGTTGGGGGGGTCTCTCTCTTTTTCACCTAGCGTCCCCAGTCACAGGTCTGAGCTCCCCGGGCCACCAAGATGGCACATGGATGTCGGATTTTCTATAAATTTTACCAAACACTTACATCCATTCACTTATGTACCATTTCTTCAGATACAGTAACTTAATAGCCCCTTCCAGCAAAAGAGAGCATGCTCTTTGCAGTGTTGTTGGTACTAGCAAAATATAAGCAACAAATGTAACTGGTTTTGCTCAGGTACATAAACTGGCTCTGTTCATTTGATAAAATGAAGTGAAGGTGGTGGCTTGAACTTTTTGAAGTCATTCCTATTAGACTCTTTATCACCAGCAAAAATTACAGTTTCAAATGGTTCAACCTTGTACTAGAGCTACACGTATCAACATGGAGAAGTTTCTGAACATACTTTTGAGAAAACAAACATTGCATTATAGAAACTCCCATACAGAACAGGACCATTTAGGAAGTTGAAAACCCTGAACAAATGTGTATGATCTTTAGGGAGATCGGTGTGTATCAAAAAATATAGGAACAGGATAAAATGTAACATTGCATTATAGCATAAAAAATTAGAGTTCTAATAAAACATTTTTAAAAAATTAGAGTTCTTCCTGAAATATAATTGCTTTCAAGTGGATATAAAATGTATCATTGAAAAGGGGATGTTACATGGTAGTTCCTAAGTGCAAATTGGCTCGAGGTCTGTTTTTACCTTTAATTACAACGGTTCCTTTCTTCCTCCCCTGGTTACTGCACAGTAACAATTCTAGTCATTTCCGGTTTGGGGGTTGTTGGTTTTTTTGGTGATTCCATTGTTTCATTACACATTTCTTTCATTGTTGCCAAGTACAACCAGTTCCAACTCACAGTGACCCAGTGCTTATTCCCCAGTGCCACACCAGAAGCCCCATTTCTACCATGGACCTTTTAAATTCTCTGTCTGATAGTGTCACTATTCGAAGTCCCGACAGGGTTTCAAGCTGCAGCTGGTCCTTCAGACTCTACACTGGGAGAAAGTGGGGGCTGACCCTCCTGGCCCAGCACAGGGGTCCCACTTCCCAGCTTGTCAGGCTCCCAGCCCACGCTGCTCCTGTGGCTGCCTGGGTCCTTTGAAGGTGCTCTACCTGCAGTGAACTCAGGAGCTTTGGCCTGTCTGGGGTCAAACTGCTTCTCATCAGCGATGGAGACACTCCCACCTACTTTCACCAGGCTAGTGTGGGCACTGCAGAGCCACTGCCTGGTCAGGGCCCTCAGTGTCCAGGGTCACTAGCCAACAGGTCAGCCCCGCCTCCACCCTACAGAGAGGCCAGAGGTAAAACAGCACAACAAAGACACTTTATTGTCAAAAACCACATGAAAGCCCAGCCCAAGAGGGCTCAAGTTCCGGGAGGGTGGTACAAGGATGGGGGTGGAGGTGGCGCTCACTCAGGCGCTGTTTGGCTCTGCCTGAGGCTCCATGTATGGAAGACTTGCTTCCTGGCCATCCCTGAGGAAGGAGGTGGTGAGCTGCTTCCAGATCAGCAAGGACAGGCCGTGGGTAGGCGGACAGGTGGGATCCAGGGCTCCTTCTGCAGGTCCAAACTGGTCACCTGTTTCCCTGCCCACGCCAGCCCCTCAAAGATAACAGCTGATCCACAGAGGCTGTGCCTAAGAGAGGAGCAGTTGAGGGCCTGCTGAACGACAGCTCAAGCTGACTGGCTCGGGGGACTCCCAGGCTCCTCACCCCCTATCTCAGGGGCTGCAAATGGTTGTGGAGCTGCTCAGCCTGGGCCTTCAGACGCTGGAACTCTTCCTGAATGAAGTCTGTCAGGGCTTTGCGCATCTCCACCTGAGGGGAGAAGACGGGGTGAGTGAGTGGGCAGGGAGGGGAGAAGCCCCCAAGTCTGAGGCCAGCCCAGGGCAGCCAGAAGAGCACTCACGGCAGACTTGTTCTCGGCCCGGAGCCGCTCGAGCACGGGCAGGGTGCTGAAGGGCTTCCCAATGAGCACAGTGATCCTCTGTGGGGAAGGCAGGCCATCGCTGGGAAGCAGGTGCCCTCCTCCAGGCCATGCTCCGTGGGAGCCCACCCAGTCCAAGGGGCCCAAGGGCTAGACACCCAGGCCTGACCCTGCCTGACTTCCTACACTGAGGCCCCAAGAGCCCTTGGGGAGGCAGGAAGTCCTTCTTTCTGTGCCACTCTGGGGAAGGTGGCAGACAGACAGAAGCACAGAGGGGCCAGCAGCCCCAACTCACCTGGCCGAAGCGGGGGAAGTAGGGTGGCCTGTTGGGAAGGACATCATTCATCCCTGCAGCACAGTGAGAGACGGAAGACAGCAGGGTGTGGAGCAGGGTGTCCAGGGCTGACTGAAGCCCTGGGCCCTCCTCTCTTTGCCACCCAGACACCTCCAACATAATCTTGGGGAGCATCTTCCCCTACTCTCTCGCCACACCCCACAGTCTCCAGGCGTGAGCAGGAGGCGTACCGACATGCCACAGTGGAAGAATGATGGGGTTGAGATGACATTCGGCAATCAGGCGTCCAATCCCTGCCCAGGGAGGGATGGAAATGTTGGAAATAGCTCCCATGCCTCTTCTTGCTGCCCCCAGCAGACCTAGCCAAGGCCCACCCCTGAGCCAGCCCGCATGTGGGGCTGTCCTTACCCCACTTGAAGCGCAGAAACTCGGAGCTCATGTTCACTTTCCCTGTCAGGAAAGCAGGCAGGCGAGGCTGGGGGATGCAGCCATTGTACTCCAGGGAGGAGGGGCGTGCTGCATCCCGGCCCCCCTGCCCTCCCCACCCCACAGACCTTCAGGAAAGATGTGCACCCAGTCCCCATGGTTGAGCTTCTCCAAAATAAAGTCCATCCCCTTCTGATACACACCGTCTCCTGCCAGGGAAGGGCTCTCTCAGTGCTGGCTCTCCCCAAACCTCAATGAGACAGGCCTTCCCCCAGGGTTTGGGATGAGTCTTGGCCTGCTTGCGCTGACTTGCACACATCATTGGCCTCCTCCCCTGAGGCTGCGCAAGACATGGCCTCCAGTGACTGTCCCCTGGGGCCCTTGTGTTTAACACCAGGAATTCCTCCCTCTCTATAGCCCCACTCCTCAGGCTGCAGTCATTCTATCCATTGCACGGCTTCGGGGGTGGGGCACCACTCAGCTGTTCTCCCTCAGATGTCCTGACTAGACCCACATCCCCGGCAGCACCTTTTCCCAGGGTCTTAGTTTCAGGGCCCACTCACTCAGGAGTCCTACCCTCCCTTCCCACTGATTCCTCAGCAAACAACTCCCTGAAAAGCAGACCCCTCCCTTAGAAGGGCTTTTGGGAAATGGAGACCCGTCAAGCAGTCACCTCTGCTGCCAGAATTGTGGTGATCCTAACCCTTCCTGGCCTCCAGCTCTGCCCAATCCTAACTGACAGCCCCCTCTGCAATAGCCAGATGGCAGAGCAAAGGCCACAATTCTTAAGGTGACATTCCAGACCCCTCACCTACATTTGGTACTCTTACCTCACCAGCACTTGGTGCATGCTTGTCCCTGTCTACAATGCCTTTCCCTTCATCCTGCTTCCCCATTGGGAAGACAAACCTGGATTCAAATCCCACCTGCAAACTAGTGCCCGTGACCTTAGCCCATAGCTCCCGCTCCCATTTTCTTGTCTAAATGATGAGAATCATGATGACCCGTTCATCCCACGGCCTACATTCCCTCTCAGAAGCTTAACTCGCCTGCTCACGAGCACGTGATCCCAAAGTCAGAGCCGCATGTGTGCCACATGGTAGAGCTGACCCCACTTGGCTGCAGCCCCCACAGCCCTTGCCCAGGCTGACTGTCCCCCATGGGTCCATCAGCCCCGTGCCCAGGGGAGTGACTTGCCTCGGCACACGGGCACGCACTTGCCCAAGCTAAAGAAGTGGGAGTACAGCTCCCTGGTGAAGCAGATGTCAGCAGCCGCGGGGGTCCTGCAGCAGGGACAGATGCAGTCATCCCGGCCCCCCCCCTGCCCCAGCCCCCACCCCCCTGTGATGCACAGAAGGCGGGCCTGCGGGGCCCACCCCATGCCCTGCCTGGACTGCTGGAAGAAGGCAAATCTGGGCAGAGACAGGTGGGGCCCATTCCTCCTCACCAACGCATCAACTTCAGGTTCCAGATGTGGCGAAGTTTCAGGATCCCTAAGGGATTGGGAGAGGAAAGACTCTGTGCCCTACCGCGCCTGCGCAGTGCCGCTATTTCAGAGAATGAGTTCTCGCTGCTCTCAGAGCCCTATCTTAGAAATTCACCACTGTGGCCGCCACCAGCACTGCCACCATGCTAGTCCAGCTATTCCCTCACCAACTCTGGGTGGGCTTCCTTTCTGCTCCCCAGCAACCCCCTGTGCAGTCAGCAGAGCCAGGCTGACCCAAAGGGGGGGGGGGGGCACCAGGCTCCCAAACTGGGCTTGCTGAAGGGGTGTAAAACCAAGCGGGCTCAACTTCAGACAACCGCCACCAGTTGACAGACTAGAGGTCAACTGCTCTGATGTCATTAGGACCAAGAATCTCTGCGACTCCGTACTTGCTCCTGAGACCCTCAATCCAAATGAGGCTCCCAAAGGGTCCTCAGTCTAACGCTCACCCCGAAGCAGCAGTGATAGGGCCCTGCTCTGGTCCCCACCAGGGCTCTCTCCCTCCTCTGGGTGCCCAGCTCCCCGGCCCTGGTACCCCAGAGATGAGGGTCGTCCATGCAGGACTGGTGGTTGGAGATGGTGATGAGTGGGGTGCTGGGGCCCCGGTTCTCGATGAGCTCGTACAGCACCTCCTTGTTGTGCACGGTGAGGTGGTTCATGCACTCTGGGAGACAGGGGCGCAGGTGGGCCAGGGTTCGGCCCCCCGCACCCCGCCCAGCCCCAAGTCTGCTGGAGTGCGCCCCGCGGCGGCGGCGGACCACTCACTGGTCCAGAAGCAGCTGTAGGTGCCCACCAGGCCCATGACGACGCTGCTGGCCAGCGTCCAGGACAGCGGCGGCGCCGAGGGGAACGGCCACCTGACGTGGAGGGGCATCACCCCTCTCGCCTGGAGCCTAGCCACAGACAGGCGCCGGCCAGCAGGAGACTCGGCCAAGGTCACGTCGCGAGACCGGCCGAAGTCGGCCCGCCCCTGCTCTCTGGCCACAGAGGAGCCGCACCCGACTCCCGAGGCCCTGGGGCCTGCGCCGCAGCAAGGGCGGGACAGAGACGAAGGCCTACGGGAAACCACCAGCCCGCGCGCCCGCGCGCCCGCCGGAAACGAACCGCCCCAGCGCGCCCGGCTCCCCGCCGTCTGTCGCAAAAGGTGTTCGAGCCACTTGACGGCAGCGGGGGCGGGACCGCAGAGCGGGCGGGACCGTCTCCAGGTTCTGGCTCCGCCCCCGGCTCTCCACAGTAGCCTTGAAGACGCAAACAGCGAAGTGGCTGACTGGTGCTACAGGGGAACGCGGCCTGCTCGCCTGTAAGGACCTGTTGAGAGGTTCTCAAGATCGTCAGCCTGCTGATTTTTCTGGCGTCTCCCCTAAAACTCCTTACAAAAGTCTCTGCTTGAGAAGGGCTGCCTGACACCGCTCAGAGGAGATTTACTGACCTTCAAGTGAGGCGAAATTGACATTACATTAAATTAAGCGTGTCAAAAAGTATCCAGTTCAGGGTAACAATGTTGTGTAGCCGAACCCAGGAAGACTCCACACCTAGTTAGCAATACCTCTCCGTTTCCTGCACCCAAGCAGCTGCTTTCAGTCTCTGGACAATTCACAGAAATGGAATCAGACACTATGTGACTTCCATGTATGGCTTCGTTTACTCAGAATGTTTTCAGGTTCCCCATAGAGAGGTGTACAAAGCCCATGAATCGGTACCACGTTCCTTTTTGTGGCTAAAAAAAGTAACATTCCCTAATGCTGGAGAAGGCTATTATGTTTGGTAAGGTGGAGGGTCAGAAAAAAAGCAGGAAGACCCCCAAAGAGATGGATTGGCCAAGTGGCAGCATCGATGGACTCAAGCGTGGCAACAGCAGTGAGGTTGGCCCAGGATCGGGCAGCGTTTCGTTCTGCTGTGCATAAGGTCGCTATGAGTCGGTACCGACTCGATGGCACCTAACAACAACAACAAATGTTATTAAAAAATAAAATAAAACCCTGTTTATTCATTCATTTCGTCCTGGATATTGGAGCCGTTTCCACTTTGGGGCTATTGTAAATAATACTGTTATAAACATGTGTTTGTTTGTTTTTAACTTTTTATTGTGATTTGAGGTGATTCGAGGTGAAGACGAGAACATCATCTTGACATTCCACACATTCTACACTTTGTTTCATCTCCATGATGACACTCCCCTCCCTGCAACAACAGGTATCCTACTTCCTCCCTGTGGCTTCTCTTTCACATCCTATATTTCACAAATGAACAAAGCAAAAATACTTGATGTACACATATAAAACAAATATATATATATATATATATACATTTCAATGTCCAAAAAGCATATTCTGCAAGCCTGCCTCCTGGCTGCCAGCACACAGTCTTTCTCAGTCCATGGGCCTACAGTCCTCAGCTGCTCTATTTCTCCATGTCCTCATCTCTGCCACTGTTTCTGCTGTCGCCCTTTCTCTCATGAGGATCCCAAACCTCTCTCCTGCTCTTCCCTCTTGATGGTCCTAGGGTCCTCTGTTCCTGGAATGCAAGATTAACTCGCTATTAAATCAAAAGAATCCTATCCCCATCCTCCCCCATTCCCTTTCACCAGACACATCTGGAGAAGAGGAAAACTATTCAGCGGGGATTCTACCTTAACCCTCTCATTCTGAAACTAAGTACATTCATGAAAGCTTGTAAGCCAGCCACTTCATGCGTTTTTAGCCCCCCCCCATTTTTTTTTTAATGTTTAGAAAACTTTAACTTGTCAAAATTTAATGTTTTAAAGCAATCAAAAACATTCTCAGAAACAGGAGACGTTTTACATGAAGTTGATAAATACATATGAAAAACCATAAAAGAGTTCATACAACAAGGAAAACTCTTAGGAGTAGAAATATATCATAAAAAGTTATGCGCTCATCTTAGCTGGCTACTTTGGCATTATTACCTGTAACGGCTGTAGGAATGTAAGCGATATAATGTTACAGCTTGCAGAGGCAAGTTGCTACTGTAGTCACCTGGGAAAATGCCAACTGACTGATTGGAGTTTGCTTGATCTACCCTGCCAGCCAAAAGCCCAAAGCCATATGCACACAAATGGAGAAACAGTCCAGGGTGGAGGATGGAACATTAAACTTGGATGTTTTTAAAAGGGTTAAGCATTATGTATTTCCTTGACTGCACAAGAACATTGACTGTTTCTCCTACCTAGTGTTGTAAAATAGACTTACATGTGTGTGGTGTAGTGAATTATCTAATGTCTCTCTCTCTTTTTTTTTTTTAATGCTTTATTGTGAATTATGTGATAGTTCAGATGGGAGGACATCAGCTTCACATTGATCCCATCACACATCGTTTCATTGCCATGGTCACAATCCCTTCCATGCATCATTGATCAACCAAAGGGTACACCCCACAAGCCTGCCCCCCTGCCGTCTGCACACCACCCCTCTCTCTCTCCAGGTCCAAAGTCTCCAGCCGCTCCATCTCCCCATGTCATCGTCTCTGCCTCCATCCCTGGTATCACTGCTTCTCTGGGTAGGGTTCCGTTCTCAGCTCTTCTCCTTCGATGGTTCCAGGGACCTCCGTTCCTACACTGTAAGGTTAATCACTCCCCTCACTTTGCCCCAAAATGTCCACCTCTACATTTCTAGCCCTTACAATCAGTCCTGACAATAATTATTTGCCATTGCATCGCAATGGACCTATCTGCATCTCCTTTTATCAGCCCTGACTAGGCAGACTGGATACCACTCAGTGGAGAGTCTTGCTTCATGCCCTCTGAATCTAGATTCCCTCTTGAAAGCTTGTAAGTCAGTCACTTCTTGCCTCTGTAGCACCCCATTCTGGGTAGCCAATGTTCAAGTTGCCCACCCCTGTCCTCTCCGTGTGCGGAGGAGGTGGGAATGATCCTCGCTATGAAGACTTGTTCACTATTTTGAGCTATTGTTTCCATAGATGT